TCGATCAACGGAGTCAAATGCCGCCTTCAGGTCGAGAAATACAGCTATTGTCGGGCGTCTGTAAGCATGCCTATGTTCCAGGACCTGGCGCAGTGTGAATATTTGGTCGATACATCCACGGCCAGGTCTAAAGCCTGCCTGGTTTTCTCGGGCTTGCTGTTCCCGAGCTCCACTCAGGCGTCGGAGAATTATAGAACTTAGGATCTTAGACACTATGTTTGTCAGGCTGATTCCTCTGTGGTTATCACAAGAGGACTTCTCGCCTTTCTTGAAGACTGGGATGATGAGTGACTTAGACCAGTCGGAGGGGATCGTATTTGATTCCCATATACTGGCTAACACTTCCGTTAGCCTGACTAAGAGAACTCTACCACCATTCTTGTATACCTCAGCAGGTAGTCCGTCTGGTCCTGCTGCCCTTCCTCGTTTCAGGCTACCTACCGCTTTCTCAACTTCTAGTGTTGGGGGACCTGTCTCTATGTCCCATTCAGGGTCCGACTGGATAGCGGGCAGCGCAATGGTGGCTGGAGGCCAGTTAAACTGTTCCTCGAAGTGTTCTGCCCATCGTCCCAGTCGCCTTCCCTGCGAGTGAATCGCAGATCCGTCCTTCTCCGCTATAACCTCACTAACTGTTGTTGACCATTTCCCCCCAGTCTCCTTAATAAGTCTAAATAACTGTCTACTGTTACCGATCGCCGCTGCCTTTTCCATCTCTTTAGCCTTCGCTGCCCACCACTGTTCACGATCGTTGCGCAGACTTTTCGTCAGTTTATTTTTAAGTTGCGCTCGCTCTTCATTGTACTCAGAGCCTGCAGGGATGCATTCACGTGCATCCATTAGTTTGGAAGAAGCTGCTGATATCCACTGGCTCTTTTTAGCCATTATCTTGGAGTCGGCTACAGTCTCCAGTGCTGCTTTTACAGTAGACTGAAGATGGCACCAAGCTTCTTCTGGATGAGTGACAGTCTTTTGTTCCGATAACTGCCTAGCCAACTTCTCACTGAACACGGCTTTGGTGTTTTCGTTGTCCAGCAGAACTCGTAGTGGTTTTGTTGCCAAATTTTTTCTACGTCCATTGAGACGCAGGCATATACGTGCTCGGACCAACGCATGATCGCTGTCCAAACACGTACTCCAGAAGGAGCGGCAGTCTTCCACCGATCCTCTCCAGCGATGACTAATAGCAATGTGGTCTATCTGTGTCCATCGCTGAGTCGAGCTCGGTGGACGCCAGGTCAGACAGTGCCTTTCTTTATGTCTGAAATTTGTGCTGGCTAAAAATAGGCGGTTATCTGAGCATAGTTGTAATAGGCGATCACCGTTATCTGTACGTTCAGCTGGGATTCCGAAAGTGCCACCTAAGTGCCTTTCTGCCTCACTCAGTCTACCCACCTGTGCGTTGAGGTCACCTGCAACAACCACTACGTCCGAACGTTTGGCTTTCGAGAGGAGGTTAGACAGTTTATGGTAGAACTCGTCCTTCACTTCATCCGAACTACAGTCAGTGGGTGCGTAAGCAGAGATTACAAAGAGACAACGGCGAGTCTCACTATTCCTTTTAGTTCTCACTGTGCCGTTCAGCCTCATAGCGCAGAGGCGACTATCAACTGGGATCCAGTCTAGTAGTGAGTTTTCTGCCCTGGTGCTTAATGCTATACCTACACCTGCAAGACCACGAGAGCTAGCTATCGAATCTCCAGAAACTCGAAGGGTGAATTTTGCAGATTCACCAGATTGGTCAGGTGAATAACCACACTTGGGTCCTGTATGCGTGTCTCACAAACACAGCACACATCCATGCCCGAGTTGCTAGAGTCTTTGCCAACGAAGCCTGTTGGCCAATTTGACGGAGGGTGCGGACATTGAAGGCTCCAATATGTAATTTGGAGCGTGGTTTAAGGAGACCAGGGACGCTGTTCTGTGGACTCAGATCGTTGTCGAAGGCTGCAGAGGTAGGAGAAATTGAAGATGATGCAGCATCATTAATTAAGAGACGTGAAGGAAGATTAGAAGGTAATGATGGAGGAGGAGGATAGCAGTCAGAAGAAACTTGGGTGCTGACAGAGTTGTGAGGGCGGTTGACACTTCCCGGCTGCCCACACCGTGGAAGGCTATTTCTTCTTAAGGTACCTGAAAGAGATTTGTGTGACCGCAGAGCCCATCGGACATCTGCTTGAGGCCTGTCACACCCAGCCTTTTGAGTATGATTATTTTGAATTTTTGTATTTTTGGGGCCGGATGTCGAAAGGAAACGACAAGTGAACCAACACCGCCGGCCCGGCAGACCGTGGGGCGTGGTGGAGTGTGTTATTTTTGGGGCCGACCTTTTCTAACCCCCCCTTCCACTGAGAAGGCAGCATCAGCTTGGCACTGCTGGTCATCCAAGGGAAACACCTTACTGCTGTCACACCCCATCCAGCTAGCAGCAGTACGACTTCGCCCTCAGACCCCCATCATAGTGTAGCAATTTACACTATAACGGTAACTGCTTTTCGTCTAACCACTACCCAACAGACCTTTCTGGTATGGTAGGACCTCGAGGGAACAAGCGTTCCACCAGCATAGCTCGTTGGGTCATTGTGATATGCAAGCCCGACCACCACGTCAAGGTAGCAGCTATCGGTCGGGATGTCGTCAAGTGTTCAAGGTCCTATCTTGATATTCAATTCAGGATCCGACTGCATAACGGGAAAAACACCAGTAGCTGGAGGCCAGTTCAACTGTTCCTAGAAGTGTTATGCCCATTGTTCTAGTTAGGTGCAGTTGTGAGTCGATCACACACCTATTCTTCTCCACTATTGTCTCACTAATCATTAACTTCACCGCTCTGGTTTCATTGGTAATTTTGAATAACTGTCTTCTGTTACTTATCGCCGCTGCTTTTTCCATCCACTTAGACTTCGCTGTCCACCAATGAGCAGAATTGTTGTCAGTCTACATTTGGGTTGCTTGCCGTCTTCATTATGCTGAGAGCCTGCAGGGATGAATCCATGAGAAAACATTTCAGAAGTTGCTGAGATCCACTGCCCCTTTCCAGCAACTTTATGAGTCAGCTACGGTCTTCAACACTGATTTTACAGCAGACTGCAGATTGCACTAGGCTTTTTCCAGATGAGTACTGTTGTTCTGTGCCGATAACTGTTCAGCTAACTCACTGAAACTATCCTTAGTCCTTTTAATGTTGAACTGCACTCGCAATGGACTTGTTGCTATAGTCTTCTTACGTCCATTTAGGTGCACAGACGTAGTTGAACTAAAGCGTGGTCGCTATCCAGACACGTACTACAGATGGAGTGGCAATCTTTCACTGACCCTCGGGCGATAATTGATAGCAATATAGTTCCATCTATGTCCACAATTGAGTTGAAGTCGGTGGGCTATTTTTGTATGTTGTTGTGAAGTGTGGTAACTTGGACTTGTTTTTCTATCGAAGTTCTGTCTGTGTAATCCAAACAGTAATAAGTCATTAGGAGCATAAGATCCAGTATTGATCTTGTCATACAGCAGGCAAATAGGACCATAATGTACAGCCTTTTAAAAGAAGAACATACTACTACGGAGTACCTTCAGTTCATAACTGAAGATCATATATCTTGTTTGAGGTGTAGATGGTGTAATCAGGGAAGAAGTACACGAGTCTTATGCACCTAAACTATAACATTCTCCACCAAGACCAAAAGGTTGCGGAGAAAAACTATTCACATCGGTAAAAACTTAACACAAATAATGATTCTGTTTGTGGCCTAGACATGATTCACGATGAATCTGTTCCATCTCACCAAAGTAGCTTTAACAGCAGAAAACACTTACTGTCTGTCCAGCATGTAGGAACACAGCTGATTTAATCACCGCGAAAAAAGCTGTCACATCCACTCTGAACTACAATCCTGATGCAGATATTTCGATTTTCTTAGTTTAAGAAAGGATTCTTAGACAGCGCGGCAAAAACAAGCATTGGAAAAGAGTAACATGAGTAAATTAGGGTAGATCAAGGAGTTACTCAAGGATGCCATTGCCTAACAACTCTATTTTATATGCTCTAAGTTTACCTATCGACAAGCTAAATATGTTGGTTGTCACAGTGGGTTCGAAGTAACGTGCGGTAATTGAAGTGACATTTAAAATGTTCCTGAGTCATCTAGAACTAAATCTCACACGTTAGTGAATTAATAAGGATTATGTATCAACATTAGTGCACACATGTGCACTAACATATGTTGGTACAGAAGCACAGCATAAGACCAACTCCCCATTTCTCGTCTTTAAAATCAGGTACCAACACAAAATCCATCACGCCGAAAGGACAGCACATAAAAATTGCAACCAGCATAATTTTCATATATTTTGACCATTCTCGAACGACACAATCACCCCTAACGGCACGACTAATAGCCGTTGTTTATAAGACGCGTTGCTGAAGCAAGACATGATAATTTGGTCGTCGTAGTAATTTGCATTCAGTTGTGCGAATACGTTGAAAATCAGAAATTGGTGTCAAAGATCAATAGCCTGCCTATTCGTCGTCTGACAACATCAAGACTGTTACTGAAACGAGGGAAAAACAGTAAGGTTTCAAGCTACTGTAAAATTCGCTGTTGGTTGTTGAAATGGCAACTGATGCAGAACAGTAGTATAGCTATTCTCGTCACGAAACTACCATTAGGAAAGTATTTTCTAAATCATGGCATGTGCACATGCCAAAAAACACCTAAAACATATTTCAACCTTATCAGTGGTGTTGAAAAAATCAAGCGATACAAAGACCAATTGCAACTGAGCTCCTCCATATTAAACCCCCAGTATTCTTAAAATATGAAACTCAGATTACTGCTGTGGCGGTCACCGAAAGATCGTTTGGAAACGACTCCACATTTAGCAATGTTTAAAAACCGCCAATAAAATCACTCCGAGACGGAAAAGAGAAGGTTATATACTGCGAAAACTGTTTCGTCAGTAACTGTAGCTACAATAAGCTTTAAAAAGTCGTAGTATCAACTTACAGCCCCAGTACGACCTTGACCAACAAAACTGTTTGACGCGCTCTGGCAATATCCAATATCCTTTTACGAGCCAGTGTAACCTAAGTGATTTCTTAGCGCTTGCTTCTAGGTTTTCCGGAACAGTTCCAGGTCTTTGGTGGACTCCGATGCAGTGGGCCTACCTGGGCCGGGAGTTTGGGTATTGATTCAATCTGTTGGATTGTTTGGTTTATTCGAGGGCTGTAGTGTAGACAGGTTCAAGTGTAGCATCACCACACAGCAGGTCTTTATGTTTGTAAAAAGAAGACAGAAGAGATGTCCGGAGAAATCAAGGGTAAGGAAGTGCGAAGAAAACGAAACAAAATAGAAAAAAAACGAATCTGGGACGAGAAAGAAGCCCGGATGGATTCATGGAAGATGGGCGATAGGGAGAACTTTTGTCAAATAGTGAGGGAACGTAGAGTCGGAGCGAAGAAAAGGAGTAAGTGAGATTATGGGACGGCTTACGGGAGTAGGAATTGTTATACTATTAGTATGAGATGGTAACTGGAAATGTCTACGGGGAAGTGTAAGGTTGAGCCAGGATTGCCATGATCATTGCATAACAAAAAATTCGGTAATGGACTGGCTGCGGTGAGTAGTGGGAAGTCAGTAGGTTGTACCCACACAGTCCATATTCCAGCTGGGTGGGCGCAAACGATGCGTAGCTGTTCAACGGACGGAACAGTAGCAATCTGGTCAGGTGGTGCGTTCCAGTGGCCACTAGCTCACGGAGGGAAGAAGTGTAAAGTCACGAGTTTTCTCCCTTTGGCGGGTGATTCTCCTTGGGTTACCAAGGGGATCGCCACAGTGGTCATTCGGTAGGATTTCACCGTTCGGAAGACCTCGATTACTTTTTATTTTACAAGGCGTTATCTGAGCATGAAGTGCAGCACTACGTAAACTCCGAAGGCATCTCCTGGAAAATTGTAGCTAGTGTCTACCTTTCCGTCGAGTATTAGTTCAGTGTCTTTCTCCGTGGTGATATGGGAAAGTCGCGACCCACAAAGAGATTAGGGTACTTTCTGAGATTCAGATGTGCAGAGAAACATAGTTCGACAGTTATGCAGATCAACTGCTAGCCCGTTATTACCCACCCCCTCTGCAAGCAATCCGAGATCGCTTTGTAGTGCACTTGATTCCGCTTCAGATGTCGCAGCTCTTCATGACCTAACACCATCAGCGTAAAGTATAATTGGGAGCAGAGATCCAATGGAAGGTAATTCACAAAAAAGAGATAACAGTGGACCCAGAATTGATCCCCGTGATACACCAGATGATGATGTCCTCCAATTCCAGCGAACTCTGTTGGCATTTGCGCAGAATTATCTGCCGTCTACATAGTCCTGTAGCCAGGAGAGCACTTAACCGTTGATGCCCAATCTTAATATTTTGTGTCAAAGGCCTTGTCAAAATCCAGGAAAATGACATGAACAGGAATTTGGAGGTCCCAGCACGCCATCCACTTATCACCGGCCGCAGAATTGTTAAGGTGCTGGACCTATCCTTTCTGAACCTGCTTTGGGCATCACTTAGTGCTGCCCTCTTGTCCAAGCACTGGCTGACATGGTTTTCTACTAGGCTCCCCATTACCTGAGATACCACTGACAGAAGTACAATGGATCGTTAGCATTTCGGGGTCTGCCTGTCCCATGAAAATATGCGTTTGTCTAAGGGGTGTTGAAACAGAACACGGGAGGACCACATATGGCACCCACGATTTTTTCAACACAGCCGACTGGATATCATCGCATCCTGGTGATATCCTTACGGGAAGCTCTAACAGCTTTGGGAGGGCCATAGTAGGGGTTACATTTGTTCCATTCAGCTCTACTGCATTTGGCAAAACCGAATGTTGGTCGAGCAGTCGGCAATTTTGGCTGGATGACGGCATCCCCAGTTGTGTCGAATGTAGCGTTATAGGTTTCAGCCATCTCAGGTCCAGAAACGTTCTCCCTGTTTGGACTGGTGGATTTTCGGCCTGCTATGAATCGTTAAGCGTTTTCGACGTTTGCTTCAGCCTTCCGTGTAAGGTTCGTTCAGGATGACCTCCTACCCACATACTCATTGATATAAACTTCTGCCTAATACACATTTAGTATTTGTTCCCCGGGTTCTTAATGGAACATAGGGCTTCAGTACCACGTCTCCATTGCACTCTGTTCTCTGAAATTTTTTGAACCTGGTTCCACGACAGCCCACATGCTCTCATTTCTTCCTCGCTAGATCTTCTCCATGTCGCCCTCACATTGGACGCCCAACTCGTCGCTTCCCATCTGGGTTCCACTCAAGGGCCCGGCGCATGATGTCCCCATTCGGCCTTCTCAGTGTATGCCCAATCCAATCCATCTCCACTTCCTTCTGCATACTTGTTCAGCGATAGGTTCTTGGTTGTTTCGTTGCCAGCCAGAGTTCCTTGTTGCTTATTCTTTCTGGCAATCCATCTGATCTTCAGTAACGAGCCAGCGTAGGCAGTTGTTGATGGAAGTTTGTAGTTTGTTGGAAGCGCTTTTCGTAACGCGCCAAGTCTCTGAGCCATACAGAAGCACTGACTTGACTTTGGTGTTGAAAACCCGCATCTTGTTCTTTATGCTGAGTGCAGAAGATCTCCACACTGGTTTCAGGCTGACGAACGCCTGTCTTGCTTTTCCGATCCTGGCTTTGACATCCTCGTCTGTGCCGCCTGTAGTTGAGACGATGCTGCCTAGATTGGTGAAAGAGACTACTTCCTTTAAGTTTCTCCCATTGATAATGATTGGGGCTTGTTGTTGTTGTTGGTTGGGTATCTTCATCACCCCTGTCTTCTCTACATCCCCTTGAAGTCCTGTCTTCGATGCCTCTTCTGACAACTTGTTAGTTTTCGCCTGCAGATCTTCAAGTTTGTGTGACGTTAGACATAGGTCATCGGCGAAATCCAAACCTTCTGGGCTCTTTTCCGCGGTCCAACTATTGTATTCCCCTCTTCTCGCTCCTCGCTGTTTGTTGCATGGTCCAGTCCATTACAACCAGGAATATCATGAGTGATAGCAGGCAGCCTTGTTTTACTCCTGTTTTCACTTCACTTCAAAGGCATCACTGAGCTTCCCATTGTGAATTACTTGGCATATGGCGTCTTTATATAGTTATTGAATGAGATTGATAAAGATATGTGGTATTCCGCAGTGTTGAAGCAGTTTCCAAATTACTTCTCGGTCGACGCTGTCAAAGGCCTTTTCAAAGTCGATGAAGTTGAGGTAGAGAGTTGACTGCCATTCTATACTCCGTTCTATGATGATGATGCGAAGCGTTGCAATTTGGCCTGCAAATGATTTGCACTTCCTGAATCCAGCGCATCCTTTAGTCTCTTCAGGGTGATGCGGCTTAATATTTTGCTTGCTCCGGGTGGACAGGGACAGGAGCATGATCCCGCGCCAGTTCTTGCACAGACTTAGGTTTGACGAGGTAGCCCTTCTTCCTATCAACCGGCAGGTACCTTCCCTTCCAGACCTTCTCCAATAGTGATGTGAGCATGTCCGCTGTTGTCTCTGTGTCTGTTCTCAGTGCTTCTGGCGAGATTCCATCCGGTGCTGCTGCTTTCCCGCATTCCAGTAGCTTTATGGCGCTCAGGACTTCGACTTTTGTTGGAGAATTTGTGTTCACTTGTGGTTTTGTGGCTGGGCGGCAGGCGGTATTTCTGGATGACTTGCAGGTGGTGGTCGATTCAAGAGCCTTTTGTAGTGGTCAGCCCATTGTTTCTTTTGTTTCTCTTCTTTGGTAATTAAATTTCCTCCATCATATTTTATTGGTTTCATCTGCGTTGATCTCTTCCCAGGTAGAAACCTGGTTATTTGATACAGTGTTGTCAGGTCCCTCCTACCAACAGCCTGTTGTGCTTCACTTGCCAGTGTGTCGTGGAAGTGTCTTTTGTCTTTCCGCACGCCCTTCTTCACTTCTTTATCCCGTGTAGTGTTTTTTATATTGTACTCAGTTCCACTTCTCGTTGTTGGTTTTACGAGGTATGGTTGCTGGCCCTAGGCCCAACTTTCATTCCTCACCCGAGGCTTAGGACCGGCTATTAACTGGTGAACTTGGTAACCAGCTGAGTTTATTGATATAAACCTATGAATGGCAAGTCACCAGGTCGTACAGGTTCAGATTTGTAGTTTGAAAATGAAAGACTGTGAGCCTAAATAAATCCTTTTCTAGGATATCTGTGTGGTTCTCTAATCTTCTCCAGAGTGATTTAGGTGACGTTATGGGCACAATTTATGACGCGTTTCAAACCCGGTAGTTGGTTGCTTGATGCAAAACCAGTACTCCACTGCACGAATAATCGGGAAAATCCCTCCTATCTTCTCAGTTCAAAAACCTTGAAAGCTGTTATTTGAAATGGAGGTAAACATATAACACAAGGAGAGTACAATCCTTGAAGAAGGGAATCGAACATTAGCGATTTTCGCCGTGATAACTGCAGTGAAAGCTTCCTGTTAAATGTAAAGTGGATGGGTTTTGCGGTGTGTTTTGACCCAGAAATATGTTCTCAGCGTCTTGATTTATGCTCATTTACGCATTTGCAACGTTTTTTGTTAATTATAACGGTGTTATTAGTTTTTGAGCATCAAATAAATCTTGCCGATAGTGATTCAGGAGCTTACCTAATATAATGATCGCTTCAGGTCACTCCTGGGTGTGATGAGTGTGTTGCTTCAGGATGGTGACTCCTTGTTGCATAAAAGCGGAAACAAATGGCATAAAAAACGTATAAAATAAGTGGAGCCACTTAAAATCATAACAACTACTTGTGCCATAGATGTGAAAAATGCACATACTTTGACTTACTTGTTTCTTGAGGAGGGATTGTTGTGAGGTTGTAAAGCAACGGATAATAACCTCATTTACGCTATTCACTGTTGACAAAGTGGAAGTATAAAGGGATGAGTATGCCGATCGACCATTGCAAACAAGTGATTCGCGGGTCCCTAGGGGCAGCGTGGAGCCAAACAAGAGTTGAGTGCTACTTCGTAGCCGTTTATCTCTCAAATGGGCGAAC